GCCTCAGTGTAAAAAATTTCTTCCTTATATCTAATCTAAATCTGCCCTCTTTCAGTTTAAAAAGCCATTGCCCCTTGTCCTATCACTACACACCCTTGTAAAAAGTCCCTCTTCAGCTTTCCTGTAGGCTCCCTTTAAGTACTGGAAGGCTGCAATAAGATCACTCTGGAGCCTTCTCTTCTCCATGCTGAAGAGCCCTAACTCTCCCAGCCTGTCTCCATAGCAGAGGTGCTCCAGCCCTTGGATCATCTTTGTGGCCTCCTCTGGACCTGCTCCAGCAGCTCCATGTCCTTCTTGTGTTGGGGACTCCAGAGCTGAACACAGTGTTCCAGGTGGGGTCTCACGAGAGCAGAGTAGAGGGGTAGAATCCCCTCCCTCGACCTGCTGGCCACACTGAGTACCTCCACATTCTCCCAAAATCAGTTTTCTAGCCTCTCAAAAGATGGAAACCTGTGGAGCAGGCTCTAGGCTCCACGGACAGACACTGTGAACTTGAAGTCTTTTCAATCCAACAAGGAATAAACAACAGCAGAAAACGACCACAATGAATGAAAAAAATGATGAGAAGAACACATCACAGAAGAACCAAAAAAAAGAGAGAAAGAAAAAGAGTAACAGCACTCTAGAAACTCCAGTGCTGAGTAGTTACTCAGGTATGTCTCTGCCCATGTCAGAAACAAAGGCAAAAGAGCTTTCCAGTCCTAGCCAAGGAGAAATGGGCATACCTGCATTGCTACAACCTTGCCTTTGCTTTTGGGACTGAGCGACCACTCGTAGCTGACGATGGCATGGTCGTCGCTGCTCTGGTTTCCGTTGAGCGTGATGGAGTTCTGGGGCAAGGTGACTGCCTGATTCGGTCCCGCGTTGGCGACGGGCGGGTAATCCACCGCCTTGGTGACCGTCAGAGACGCGACGGTGGAGTTGGCTGCTCCATCTGAATCAATCACTGTGAGTCTGCAACGGGAAAACCAGTATTGGAAATCTGCTAATCCTGGGCTTCTGCCAATTCCGAAGTTCAAAGGTTAGCTTTGTCTGGCACCTGAAGAGAGCAAAAACACCACCCAAAACAGAGCCACTGATCAGATTATATGAACTTCTGCTTCAGAAACACACAGTCCTCAACTAAGGTAGGAAAGAAACTCACAGGACTGTTTTCCAACACAGCTTTCACCCTTTAAGGACAAAAAAAAAAGCCTAGCTATTCTGGATCCCAGATGAAACCCTTTCCCTGCATTCAATGGCAACTCCATCAATTTCAAACAGATTTCGCTAAATTCTTTACAAAATTTACTCAGTAAAAACCAGGGATTTCCTTCATCAGTCACAGCGGAACAGCCCCTGTTAACACCTACATTCAGAACTGCCCTGCATGTTCAGAAGCTCTGCTTGCAGCACAGCAGCAGTTCCTAATTTCTTATTTCTTTGTGGCACACTATTAAATAATTTTAATGGCGCTTAATATCAGCTCAGGTTTTTGAAGATGTCAAGTCACAAAACCAAAGTACAGGGTTTAAAAAAAAGAAATCACTACTGCCTTTCAGAAACACCATGACAACTCATCTTAAAACGAGACTGCTGCAGACACCTGAGAGTGATGGAAGACTGTCCTTCGACAGCGGGGTACCCGACTACATCTCTGTTTCACCTCTAGTGAAACTGCACACAGCTGAACACAGGGAAGGGAACCACTCTTGAAGCCTTCCCTGAGAGGGAACAAAACTCTGAAATAATTAACTCTTAAGCTCATTAATTCTGTCATTAGGTAACAGATACATTTGCAGTGGGTGCATATCCACACGTAGCAGGAGCTTGGGATTTTGCTCATTTCCTGTAAGCTCGAACATGCTGCTCTATTGCTCACGTACCTCAGGCTCCCCTAAAGGTGCACAGATATAGGAAGTGATTTCTTAATTCCCTAGAGTTTGGAACACACTTGGAACATTGCTTGTAAGCAAGCTCTGCCCTTTTTGATTCAGAAAAAAAATCCTATGCTCATTTCTGCCACTGTACAGTACGCAACAACTCCAGTAAAGAAGACAGAATGAAAGTTGAAACCATGCAATTTTTGGTGAGGCTTCTGCAAAGCACCATGTTTAATGTACGCTGGCTTCAGCATTGTGCTGATGCTACATTGATACATGACATTGACTGGTGGGCTGCTACCCACTGGCCCAGTCTGCCTCTGTGCAGGCTACACTTTAAGTAAAGAAGTTCAGCAAATTAACTCTCATTTTAATTAAAGCAGCCAGAACCACAAACATTGCTTGCATTGTCTGGACAAAATTTAGCTTCAGCAGCACATAGATGGAGGAAAACAGTAGCAAGGTAAAGGCTTTTAGGAAGAACAGAATGACTTAAAATCAGCACACAACAGTGCCTTGTGAGGATCAGCGTCCCAATATAGTTTGGGCTGTTATGACCCTTCAGGGATGACTTTCACAGTCTGACTGCAGAGACTCATCTCAGGACACTTGCCAACTTTTAAGCTGGAAAAAAATACTAAAAAAAAAATGTTGTCATAGTTATTATGGCAGAGAGGGGGAGGTATTTAATTTCTGATACTTGACAATACGAAGTTATGCAAAACAAGGTATCACTACACCAGTATGACAAAATCACTGCAAGCACTTTCTAATAAGAGTGCTCCTTGTGTCGCTCCACTGTGGAAAATGAAGAGTAACACCATGCAGAAGAAAAACAAAGTGTTTTGTTTGAAGAGGTACATGTGAGCACCAAGAGACACAAACATTTAGCTGACATCACAGAAACAGTCAAAATCCCAAAGGAAAGTATCCATGCAGGTACCTGAAAGTGTAGTTTCCAGGAACAAGGTTAGACAAGTACAAGACAGGTGTGTCAGCAGATGCCTTCTGCTCTCGCAAAGGACCTTTAATTTCCTCCCAGTGGTAACTCACTATCTTCATATCATCTACACTTTCTACATTCATTAAAGAAAAACATATCAGTTTCTCGTAGCAATTGCTGGAAAAAACACTACAGTCTTCCATGCACTGATCCCTAACTGGTTTTCCACAATCATCTTTTCAAGCAGATTCAGTCAGGGTTCGTGCACCATAGCTGCTACACTGCAGGTTTCAAATTACATTTGGTACGGTTTATCTAAACAAACAAAAAATTCTTCATGCACACACAAATAAAAAAATCAATCTGCACATTCCAACTTGCCTGGTCTCAGTAATCATGACCATAATTATGACATCTCATCAGACCCTACATGACAGCTCCTCTACCACAGCCCCAGAGGCCTCAGCAGGACAGGAAGATGACGTAAAAGCAAGTGCTGTTTGGATGCAGCACCCTCCAATACACTGCATCTCAATCCCCACGTGGAAAGCTGGATTTTATCATTTTTATTTGTTAATTAAAATAATTTATAACGAGACTCAAACCCCTGAAAGAAATCATGACTCCGGGAACTCCTGAATGGAGTGAGAAGAAGGAATTTCACTCGTAATTGACAAACTATAACGTCGCAGCTGTATATTAAAACCACAAGATATGAGCACAGGATGCTCCAGTACGTACGACTGCCATCGATGAAGGTAGAAGTTGTAGGCAAAGAAACTTCTTGTACTTCAGGTGAAGCAATGGCAACAGGTGGCTGGTTAACTCTGGCTGCTGTGAGAAAGACAGCAGGTAGGGAGGTGA